TCCTCTCACAATGCCCCATCTCTACGCTTCGACGTCATCGCTTCTTACTGCTCCATCCGGTGTCCTTCTATACGGGCCGCCTGGATGCGGTAAGACCATGCTTGCTAAGGCGCTCGCCCATGAGAGCGGGGCATGTTTCATCAACCTTCACATCTCTACCCTGACTGAGAAATGGTACGGTGATTCCAACAAACTGGTCAATGCTGTGTTCTCGCTTGCCAGGAAGTTGCAGCCCTCGATTGTTTTCATCGATGAGATTGATGCAGTGCTGGGAACCCGACGGAGCGGCGAGCACGAGGCCAGCGGCATGGTCAAAGCCGAGTTTATGACTCACTGGGACGGTCTTACTTCAGCTAACTCGATGGGCGAGCCGCAGCGAGTGGTCGTTCTGGGTGCCACTAATCGCATAGGCGATATCGACGAGGCTATCCTCCGCCGCATGCCTAAGAAGTTTCCTGTCGCACTACCTCCTGCAGCACAGCGGCTTCGAATCCTCAGCCTGATCCTGAAAGATACCAAGGTTGACCGGGACAACTTTGACCTCGATTACTTGGTGAAAGGCATGGCGGGTATGTCGGGAAGCGATATCAAGGAGGCTTGCCGGGATGCGGCCATGGTACCGGTGCGCGAACTCATCCGCCAGAAAAAGGCAGCTGGGCAACAAATGACAGCTGTTGATCCCAAAGAAGTCCGGGGGCTGCGTACGGAAGACTTCTTCTCGCGCGCCGGCGGTGTCCGGGTCATTCCCCCGCCTGCCCAGCTGTCGAACAAAGCCAATTCTGAGAAGGAATGGAGTACTGAATCGGAGGCGGCATCTGAAGCTGAAGCACGAACACCCGCAGAGATGGCCGAACCTCCTGAGTAGCTTGCTCCCAGCTGTTTTTCTTGAATAAGTATTGTATGACTGTGCAGATAATCTCGCGTCCCTTTTGACTCAGTACCGCGTAAAGGGCAAGGCGTTAGGATTCCTGTTTGCTTTCTTTCTTTCTTTTTCTTTTCTTTGTGGATATACTATCGGATTTAATGGCTGTGATTTGTATGTGGCTTACGTCCTCAATTGAGGATGTACTACCGAGTCCGTGAAGGATGCCACGGCCGCCCTGTGAACGGATAGAGAGTCGATATACCCGCTGACGAGATCAGGATTATGAATTCCATCATCCAGCCTGTACTGTATAAAGTAGATAGAATCCAATTGATAAACACCATCCTCATCCTCATCAGGGTCTACGTGGCCAGTAATCAAGCCAAGTTTCAAGGCAAACGCTGCCGATCCGTGGAGGTGGTATTGCCATACGGTACTCTGGGCGTATCGGGACGCCACCGGCCGACGTCAAGAGAGCAAATTACGGGCCTCAGCGATGGACTTCAGAGCACCGCTTCAGCTGGGAAGGCATCTTGCCGATCAAAAGCATTGCCCACCAAACTCTTCTTCTTCTTCTTCTTCTTTTCAATCGCTGCAGTTGCCCGCTGAATTATCCGCAAGCACCGAAAATCCCCGGTTGCTTTCTTTCACCTTGTTCCGCCGAGCAGAGCATGAGACAGCCACCCCGCCCTGCCGACGTCTGATCTGCCGACTTGAGTCGTCATCACAGGAGGCTAAACTCCATACTTCTTCCTCTTCCTTATCCCGCGTCTCCTCCCACACTTCCTCCCACCCCAACCTCCCCCCCTACCCGCCTCAGTTCGTGGTCATCCATCCCCTGGGTTCAGAGTCGGACAATCCTGCGGCTGGACTTCTACCCCGGTTCATCTACTCGAAACACTGGTGATATCGCCGCTCCCTAGATCCCGTGCTAGCTCCGAGCTTCAGGACACGGATGCGATAACTACAGCGCCCGGATGACGAATGGTCTGTCGTAGAGACCTCCGATGGCAATTTGTGCCTGGGCGATCTCACACACAACGCTGAGCTTCTGCCGGTGACCTGACGACTCCCGCCCCTCCTTAAATCTATCTTATCGCCCCCCCTTAGTCGCCAGGGATGAGTTCCAACGGCGGCTTTGCCGACCTCTTTAGCCTTGGGACCGCGAGCACGACAAATACCGGCCGAAGATCCACCTCGACCATTCGATCGCGCAACCGCCGTCTGATATCATTCACAGAGGATGAAGTCGACGAGAATGGCAAACAAATGCAGTCCTCCGGGTTGTCGTCGATGTTATCCCCCGATAACTCCGCTGTTCGCTCCCGCGGTGCTACACCTTCACCTAACCCGTCCCGCGGAGTGTCCCCCATACCCATGAGACATCCCTCTCGAGCAACCGAAGCTGCCAACCGTAGCAAAGGAAACAGCTCCTTAGGTGGGTTCTGCCGTGAGGAGGAAAGTGGAATAATGTTTGCTGAGTCGTCGCGAGCCGCTGTAGACTTTATTGATGCATCATGGACCTCGCTTCAGAGTCTAGCCTCGTCAGTACTAGGAAGCGATATTGCACGGCCAGCCACTACCAACGGGAGTGCTAGGGGGCATGTGAGGAAACCTTCCCGCCCAGATCCTTATATGAGACCCCCTGCACGAACGTCGACCCCAGCAACCTGGGGTCCCTCGGCCCCGTCTACACCGGAGATTGGAAGCGGAACCCAGGAAGAGAGACAGGCACTAGTACAGGCAAAGAAAAGGGAAGCCCTGTTATTGGCAGACACGGGTCCGGCATGGAGTACAACCCCGCGACACAAACGCCGGGATTCCAGCGATCGGACGGGCCATTCGAATATTGACCCTGACCTCGACGAGGACGCCTTAGCTTATATACATCATGTACAATCCACAGATACCATTACCGGTGTTACGATACGATATGGGTGCCAGCCTGCGGTATTCCGAAAGGCCAACGGTTTCTGGCCCAGCGATAGCATTCAGGGCCGAAAAACCGTCCTCCTGCCGGTTGATTCGTGCTCGATCAAAGGACGCCCAATCCGGCCTAAGATGGGAGAGGATCTGCTAGGAGATGATCATCAGGAACGCGAGTCTTTGGAAGATATGAACGGCAGCTCGATAGCGCCTACTTCAGCGCCTACGTCTGCCGGGGGAGCAACATCTGCATCTCCTGCAGCGGAGATCGAAGGTGACCGAATCTGGAAGCACGAGTCATGGGTGCATATCGAGGGCTTTTCGGGGCCGGTTGAAATCGGCCGCGTCCCGCGGAGAGCGTTGGGTTTCTTCCCACGAACGCGACGGAAATCCGTTTCTTATTCGGACTCGGTGTCGTCTCCATTGTCAGGCCGGGGAGGCACAACCGCTCCTTCGTCGCCTTCGCCAATCGAGTCGGCATCGGCGCAGCCAGTTATTCCTCCATGGGCTCGCCCGCATGCTGATTCGTCTGCATCACGTACCTCTTCTAAGGGCAGGCCGGGCATTCGCCATCAACGCCAGCGCAGCAACATCCAATTGTCGGGACCTGGCGTTGGCACTCTCGACCATGATTCAAATGCGCCAGGCCCCGCCATGGACGGACTTAGCAAATTCTTTGCCCAGCATTTGCCAAATCTTGCGCCCGTGGCACGCCCACCGGATTTTGAAAGTTCGTCGGAAAGTGCGTCGACCGCGGCCGCGAACACCCCAACCAGTCTGGACAACCTTGGCGGAGCAGTAGAGTCCTGGGTCAGGAAGATGACGACCCGAGCCAAGGCCAGCTTGAATGAACTGCAACAGACGCAAGGCCCGGCAACCCATGACCCCGCACAGGCCATGGGGCGACGCGGCAACGGCGATCTCATCGAGCTGAACGATGGGATGGAGTCTCGCAGCTCGTCGAATGCGATCTCCGAGCCTCGGTGGAGACCCGATTTGCTACGGTCGGGGTCAAGCCTTCACGAAGGAACAGCGTTGCGGGGACGTTTCCTCAGCCCTTCACCTGGGACGAGCCGGACTCGTTCTGGGGGGGACAGGGCGAAAGATGATTGACGGGCAATTACGATCCGAGCGCGCTATCTACGTGCACCGGAAGCTTGCTCCTTGATTTGTTGTTTCATAATACTTATTTGTGCTCTTTAGCCCGACTGCAGTGGTGGCTGCATGTTGGGCAGGTATTTAACTTTGGGCGATACCAACTACGCGTGCACTTTGAAGCATAGCACGGCGCGCCGGGGATGCGTGTCGTCTTATGACTATAATTGATGTGGCCGACTGACTGTTTGGTGTTAGGGATCTTGTGTTTATCTTGGTTTTCTGTACTTAGAAGAGAGTGCCGGTGGCATGGTGGTCGATATAACTAGAGCAATGCGTGTCTCCATCCTCATCCTCATCGGCCATCCCTTATACCCTGATGGCGCCGAAGGGTGAGAATGGCGATGGGCGAGAATAATATACTGTGTATAGTCTGTCCTATCCTCCTTGTGCACTGCAAAGTCAGTTGATCATCATCCCCACTCAATCGTCCACTCTTGCTCTATATCCGAGACAAACCACAACTTATTCAATTTAAGCGCGAGTCCATAATCATCCACAACCACTCCACAGCCAGGGTAGTCTACATCCAGGGTCTTTCTACCGCCGGAGAAACTAAGCCCTTAGCTCCTCACTAGGACCTCCCGCCGCGTCTTGGCTCCTCATCACCAACTTTCCACCTATAAACTGCATCAGACATGCTGCAAAGCCACGACTGCTGCTGCATGCACCCCAACATCATCCCCGCATAATACATCCATCCCTGAAGCAATCAAGCTTGAATCTCTTGTTTCTTCGGAGATGTTAACCATTCGTAGTCAAAATGCCCTTTCCAAACGACATCAATCCAACTGATAGACATCCCCATCCTCCTCAATACCATGGACGCCCCACGTCCATGTTAAAAGTAAGACTAGCTCAGCTCGGCGTTAATCAATTATGATTGCGAGTCTCAATCCCTGAGTCATGTGTTCTCTGTGTCGGAGAATTAGACTAAATTCAGCTGCTTGTTGCCACTCCTAGCTCCCTGATAAAGGTCCTCACTTCGTCTCGTAGCTGGCTGGCTGGATATTCTCCAGAGACTGAGTTGACAGAGACCAGCAACTTAGTAGCCATGGCGAGCGCACTCCTCTGGCTCTCCCTGCTGGGCAGCAGCACCCTAGCCTCAGCTCTAGACACCAGTAATACCCCTACCATCAAAAGAGCAGACGCAGGAAACAACACCTCCTCAATCCCAACAGCCACCCTCAACAACACCGTCTTCGTCGGCCGTTCCCTGCCCGAGTTCGAGCAGGAGTTGTTCCTGGGTATCAAGTTTGCGGATGAGCCCGTGCGATTCACCCCATCGACGTTGAAAACCGTCTATCGCGCCAATGACAGCGACAACGGGGTGTATCATGCTTCCTCAGCATCCGGACTGCAGACTTCCTCGGGGACCGTGCTCTACAATGCCACGGAGTATGGGTATGATTGCCCCGGGTATGGATCCGATGAGACGGAGCTGGCGGAGGAAGGATATGCGCGGTTCGATGAGAACTGTATGAACCTGAATATAATTCGGCCCAAGAGGGAGAATGAGGATGAGTTGTTGCCTGTGATGGTTTGGATCTTTGGTGGTGGTTGGGTGCAGGGTGCGACTGCTGATCCGAGGTAGGATACTATAGTTTTGTGCTGTGCTGTGTGGGGTTGATGCTGACGAGGTGCAAGGTACAATATGAGCTATATTGTTCGCCAGGGTGCGTTGAATGATAAGCCTGTCTTGGGTGTCTCGATCAATTACCGTGTGGCTGCGTTTGGATTCCTTGACTCTGTCGAAGTTATGGTGCGTTTCTCCCCTCACCGTCAAGTACATATTATGGGTTTCAGTTGACATGACATCTGTAGGAATCCGGCAACACGAACCTAGGACTTCGTGATCAGCGCGTCGCCATGCATTGGGTCAAACAGAACATCAAGGCGTTTGGCGGTGACCCGGACAAGATCACCATCTGGGGAGAATCAGCGTGAGTCCGTACCCTAATAGCATGTGATACACAGCGCCTGACATGGTACAGTGGTGCCTACAGCGTCGGAGCCCACCTGATCACCAACGACGGTGACAACGAGGGTCTATTCAGAGCCGGTATGCACCCTTTCCTCCCATCTATCTCATTTGCTAACCAGCATAGCCATCATGGAGTCCGGCAACGCAGTCGGGCCCCCCTACAACGGCACAGACTGGTACCAGCCGATGTACGACCAGATCGTAAACGCAACCAAGTATGTCCTCCTCCACAACCCAAAACAACACAAACTACTACCATAAGTAGATATACTAAGTACATGAAAGCTGCACCACCTCAAGCAACACCCTCCAATGCCTCCGCGAAGTCCCCTTCTCAACGATCTACACCGCCGCAGACATCGGCCTGGAATGGTTCGCCACCATCGACGGCACCTTCATCAAAGAATATCCCCAAATCAGCATTACGGAGGGCCGCTTTGCCAAGGTCCCCATCCTCCACGGCACCAACACCGACGAGGGCGTGAGTTTCGGTACGACGGGCGTGAACACTGATGCCGAAGCGATCCAGCAGTTGATGGGTGAGCCCCCCACCCACCCAATCCCCAAGAGATATATATAGTACGAGATACTAAGGTGAAATGAAAATGATAGCATCCAAACGCTGGGTGCTAAATGAAACCCAAGCCACGACCCTCCTATCGCACTATCCCAACATCTCCGCCCTAGGCTGTCCCTACGGATGGGGCAACACGACCTGGCCGAAGCTGGGGTATGAATATAAGCGCTACGAGTCGATGGCGGGCGATCTGTGCATGGTTGCTCCGAGGAGGTTGCTCAGTCAGAAGATGAAGGAGTATGAGGAGCAAGTGTTTGCGTATCGGTGGGATGTCGCTGCGTTGAATGATTCGAGTACGATTGGGGTGGCGCATTTTGCTGAGGTAATGCCATCAATTCCCTTTCCCCTTTTGATTATTTAGTTCCCTGCGGTATGATGTTGGTTGGTTGGTTATGCTAATGATGTGTTACTGTGTGCATGCATAGATCCCGTTTGTTTTCGCCAACCCTGTGCAGAACATCACTCCGTTGGGAAGTGATCCCGCAAGACTGGAGTTGGGTAATCTGGCCGCGAGGATGTGGACGGCTTTTGTGACGGATTTGGATCCGAATGGGCATGGTGGTACGTTCCCCTTCTCTATCTTATTGAGGTTGTGAAATGAAGCGTGTGGTTCTGATGAGGGTGACAGTCTCTGGTATCCCCCACTGGCCGAAATACAATCTCTCTGATCCGAGGGACTTTGTGTTCCGGCTACCGAGGAATGGAAGTTATGTGGAGAAGGATACGTTTAGGACGGGGGGGATTGATTATATTAATACAATTGTGCGGTAAATTGCTGTTAACTACTATATGTATATAGGAGGGTGTGAATGAGAGGTAGACACTACTACATATCAAGGATGGGAATATACTATACTATTTACTACTGTAATATTACTATAATCAAGAATAGAAGAAAGTCTACTGATTGATTACTTCGACTGATCGATTGTATTGATCTAGTTAGTATATCAAATCGACAAAGAGCCGCCGTTTTTATTCATTCAAATTTCCCGCCACTAAGCCAGTATACTATACCATAGTAGTATAGCTGGTTTAGTTGATGCCGAGCAGCTCAACCTCGCTAATATGACATCAGCATTCCAATCCATATTTAACTGGCAAAGAAGATTAGAAGAGGAAGAAGGAGGATAACTTACAAAACCAGCGTCGACTGGGGAGGGATCAAGCCGGGGAAACCCTGAGCGCCGTAGCCGTAGTCACTGTACATGAGTAATTAGAGAATAGCTCATATTATGATACTTTCTTTCACAGTGGATGGGTCTAACTCACGGAGTAATGGTCAGGATGGCCTTCTCGCCAACGCTCATCTGGGGGACAGCCTCGTCCCAGCCTGGACATTTAATTAGTTTAGTCATTTCAAACATATTGACATATAAAATATATTATGAGATAGAAAGAAAGAAAGGAATCAACATACCCTTAATGAGACGGCCAATACCGATGGCAGTCTTGAAGGGACCGCGACCACGGGAGCTGTCGAACCTGTGATTGAATTGAGTTAGTATGATGTCAGTTTACACTCCCTCCGTTCTCTTTCTTTTGTCCGTTTAGAATGGCCATACAGTACAGTATAGCCACCCCGTTTGAACATCTGATAAGACGGACAGAGGTTTGAAAAGAGAGGGGGGGGGAAACCGTACTGCTTGCCCATCTTGTTAGGAGCGTTCTCATCATACAGACAACCAGTGTAGTGCATGGAGATCTGATCGCCCTTCTGGGGGAACTGCTGGCCGTTGCCAGGGGAGATAACGGTCTTGGTGACACCCATTGTGATAGTTGTTATTTTTTTTTTCAGAAATGAATTTGATTGATGGGAGAGGGAAAATAAAAGAAGAAGAAAACCGAATAGAAAGAAGGTAGAGAGAAAACGAAGAAGAATCGACCAAGTGGGGGCGGGGGGGGGAGGGAAAGTGGTTGATTTATAGTTTGGAATTCAGGGCGAGACCAATTACTACAGACTTATTACTTTGGGTTGGCGGTGTATCCCTACTACTGCTGCTATAATTATTACTACTAATGGTATTTCTACAAGAGGGGGATAAGGTTTGATATATTGGGGAACGAGGGATTGCGATGATGATTGACTGATGATGATGGAAGATTCACGCCGCCTGTGTGGGTTCGCTTGGCGCGGAAACCCGCTGTGGCCAGTCATTCATTCCTTCATTCACTTTAACTTGTTGAAACTTATTAATTGCCTCTCGCTGTGGCCTCATGCCCGCCTGCAGCTAAAAATGCTGTTCCAAAATTTAGATGACACTGGCTGCCGCCTGTGCCGCCTGTATTATTTATCTATTTTCACTGCGACATAATTGATTGTCCAGTTCTGCTTGGTGTACTTTAGCAGCTGGCTGGCCGCCCATCGACCCCAGTGCCAGCAGAACTACTACAACTACTACGTACTAAACCACCGTCAACATCAGTCATTCCACGTTCTTTTTCCCGTGTGATATCTGAGATAGGGAAAAGCAAAAACAAAAAACTAAACCAACTGTCAATGCATGCAACCCCATTTCACCCTGCATGTGATGCATCCTGTCAACTCAACTCCCCTCAAATCATTCATGGCTTCGTGGCTCTGGCTCCATTATACTTCCAAAACGACATATTCTTCACCTCCTCCAATGTCACCTCCTTGATCTGCGTCCGAGGAAACCGTGCATCAACGGGCGCATCACCCTCCCCCAGTGCCAAATAATGCAGCCTCGACACACCCACCTGCTCCAAGAACGGCACCACGCGATGGAAATTCAGCCCAACCTGCTCCAATCCATGACTATCATCCGACAGACAGAACCGACCTCCGCGAGCCAGGAATTCCTTACAAATCTCCCCATTCGGATACGGCTCCTTCATGCCCTTCCTCAACGCCGCCGAATTAACCTCCAACAGACCCCCATATCCCGCCACGTAGTCCAAATTTCGTAGAATCTTCTCCCACACCCTCGGATAGTCCTGAAAACTCCGATCGGGGTCATCGCTCTTCAGCCGAATCAGATCAAAATGCCCCACCACCACCGGCTTCACCTGCTTCAGCATATCCAGCTGCTCATCAAAGTACGCCTCGAAGAGCAACTCGTCCGTTCCACCGGCTAGTGCGCGCGCCTTCTCATACAGCGGCCGGTCATAGTCTATGGGGACGGTCAATGTATGGTGCACGGAACCCATGAAGAACTCGAACGGGTGCCGCGACAGAGACTCCTCGATTAGCTGTCGCGAGGCCGGCCGGATCCAGTCGATCTCGAATCCGATGAGGATGTTGATTTGATCGGCGTATTTGGTTCGGAGGCGCGTGGCTTCGGCGAAGTAGGCGGCCTCGTTGGCTACGTGGCTGGATTCGGTGTCGCCGGCTTCGATCTGGGTTGGTTAGTTGTTTTAGTTAGGTTATCGGGTAGGGTGTATCGTTAGATAAGATGGGTACATACCTCTTCTGGGTAGAAATCTTCTTCATGGCGGGGCATGTGCTCTGTTAGGCAGAAGGTGTGGAATTTCTTGTGTATGGCGAGCTGGATGATTTCTTCCAAGTTGTCTTTGGCGTGGCCGGGGCAGAATTGCCCGGAGTGGCTGTGATGAGTGAAGGGCATCTGGAGAGGTATCAGTAGGTGATCAACTTGTAGATGTGGTGGACTGAAGTCGTGATGCGACGCGATGTTGTATCACTTACTGCGGCCGGTTACCCCGCGATGGAGGGGTTGCTGTTGCTGCTGGTATATAAGGGAGAACCCGCCGGAGCTCGTGAAGGCCAGGCTAATTATAACTGGTCAGCCACTGACAAACTCACTGAGACGTGACCCTGGACTACTAGGAGGGTGGTGAAGAGGGCCGTGTGAAGAAGCAGGGAGTTGTTGCGGCGAGTCAGTCTGGCGCGGATGTTCTGCTCGACCGGCAGCTCCGCCAGCATCTCCGACTCCAGATACGAGATGGCGATCACGCTGCCTACACACTTCACTGCCGATATTTATACCGATTATCATGCATCCATTACTATTGTACTCTACTATACATCTATTGATACACTCCATCTGTATACGTAGCTAGCCAGCTAGCTCTACCACATGTCTCCTCTCTCAAGCAGGCGCATCTTCACACCTCCCTTCATCCAAATATTACCCCAACACAGCCATAGCCCATCCCCTCATTTGTCTCAGCGTCACACTGAACTGTCCAAACCCACTCCCAGTCTAGCATCCGCCACATACTCCCCCTCCCCGGCACGTAAACCTTATATAAAATCCCATATACTCTCCTATGAAGAATATACCTCACCCCGCCGCCACTACCATAGCAACCACATACTCCCCATCATGCGAAATCGACAATTTCCCTACCCTCCCTGCCTCATCCTCCCCCTCCCCATCTAAATATACCACCTCCGGCCTCCCCCCATCCTCCTCCACCGTAACCACCACATCCTTCCAGCTAATATGCGCCGCGCCGCGGGACGCCGCTTTCCGTGCTGCCTCTTTGGCCGCGAACCGGCCTGCGAGCCACCGCGACATGTCGGGGGATATACTTATGCTAGGAGTTGGTGTTTGGGAGGATAAGGGAGGGAGAGAAGGAAGGGCGAACCGCGTGCGAAAGTCTTGTTGTTCGCGGGCGTGGAGAATGCGGTGCGTGAAGCGGGTGAGGTAGTTGGGGCGGGCGAGGAGGCGGGTTATTCGGGGGAGGTGGACGATGTCGGTGCCGATGTTGAGGGCGAAGGGGAAGGGGGTTGGTTTCATGGTTGGTGCGAGGGTGAGTGGTGGTGTGGTTGAATGGGTGGATCGGGAGAGGTTCAGATTGTGGGTTGGTTTGGGATGTTATCGTGAAAGGTTGGATATGGTCAGGTGACTGCAGGCTGTGTGACTGGTACGTTCTGAGTGATTGGATGGGAAGCTGTAGGAACTGGTAGATGTGAATTTGAGTACTGGGTACAGATTTAATTGACTGGAAGTCTTAGTTCCAGTAGGTAATGAATACTCTTGTTGGTTATGATCTGGTGGCTGTTTCACGCACGCTTACTTTCTACACCGATATAGAGCTCTTTGTAAGGATTTTACCAGTTCCAGACACGGCAAAGTTGGAGAACAAACGTTCACGGTGTATACTCTATATGTACAGATTCACACCTCCCGTGGAACCGCCAAACCGTCCCAGCAGGCAAGATTTCAAGGACACTGCCCGAGCCCGTCAGGGTAGAATCCAGACCACCCTGACCAACGACCCATTCGGTCATGGATATCATGCATCGAGCGTCTTCAATTAGGTTGCCCTCGACTGATTCCCGTATTGAAGCGGTATTCTAGTGGTCTTTCTTTTTCTCTTCTCCGTTCACTTGTTTCAAGAAGTCCCTGTTATGAACATTAGCTTGAGTTCAAAAATCCCAACCATATCCTTCATAGTCCTAATTGCAGATAGGTTCATCTGTTATAAAGGTGGAGACGTACTGAATGAAGGTCTCCTCATCCTTGGAGGAAGCCTGGATGGGAGGGGTGGCAGGCTTGGGCTGGCTACCACCACGAGTAGCGAGACCAACACCGCCGAAGAGAGCACCGAGAACGCCCATGGCGAGCTATACATAGTCAAGTAGTCAGTGTGAGAGTTCCCAGGCAGCTGGCAGAGTGTGCCATCGGCCGATGTTATGACCTCGGCAGAGATTGGTCCCGGGACAGGGGAAGGGTTGAGACGGGGCGGCAACGGAGACGTACAACGTGGGAGCCGACCTGCTTGCCGGCGATCTGGTAGTAGACGACCATGATGACGGATTGGAGGAGAGAGTTCAATGGAGAACGGTCAGGTCACAGCGGCGGATGTAGCGGTGCGATGCGAGGTCCAGCGGGAATCAGTCGTTGGACGGCTGCGATGGAAGTTGCGGCTATGGTCCTTGCCTGTTTGGGACTGGCGTGTTTGATGACTCAGAAATGAGTCAGACACACTCAAAGTGACCTTGCTGAGTCATGTGTCACGCGAGCTAGCTGCAGTTCACGTGATGTCCCGAAAGTGCCCGACACGTGAGGGTCCCGGGAAGACATCACGGGATATGATGGCATGATTGACATGCCCTTAAAAGCACGATGAATTGCGGTATCACAACACCTGCAGATGCAAATACAGAAGCTACAGCCAACATCTGACTACAGAAAGTACTCCGTACACCGTAGGTTTTAATTTATCCACCAACCTGACAAACCCTCATGGTTGTGGCGGTGTCATCACAGCTTCTCCCAGTAACGTAGTATAGGAAAAGCTCCCCCCATCCGAACCTCGGGGGAAGTGAAATCATCCCTGGACGAGACGGGGAGATTTCCCCGGCTATGAGCTGAGCTTGCTTGCTGGTCGGTTACTGCTGGCGGTTATCCTGCAGCGAATCGCCGGCGCTATAAGATGCTGCCAGTCCATGGTTTCTTTCGGCCCTGGATTCGCTGGAGCTCCTGTTGACTTTTGAGCTGTTTGGATTTGAAGTCACCATCTCCTCTTTACTTCTTTTCCCCCTTGATCTACTAATCTTCATTCCTCGCTTCACTCCTTTCACATTTTCAGTCTGCTACACTTTATTTTCCTCTCTCTCTCTCTCTCTCTCCCTCGATACTTTTTTTTCACTTCTCACTTCTTCTCCAAGCGTTACTCATTAATCCAACTGTCGCATTTTATCCCATCATGTTCTGGGGAAAGCATCACGACGACACGCCCGAAGCGGCCCAACAACCACCCATTCCTCGCAAGAAGCTCCCTTCGCATTTACAAACCTTGGCCGACCACGACGACGGCTTCTACGATGACATCTATTCCTCATAGTATGTCTGATACCTTTTCTTTCCATATTCCAGTGTCATATTTTATCCCAAACATTGTCGGTGTCGCAAGGGAGGACAAGAGAAAAAGCGAAGAAGCTCTCTCTCTGCCTTTCTCCGCGTGTCTCCCCGCATTTCCGATCCCCGCAAGAAACCAAAAAAGCAACGCAACGCAAAACGGAGAATCACCCACACCACCAGCTGCTAGTTAGCTACTCATAGCATACTAACTGAATCTCTCTCTCTCTCTTCCTATCACAGCTCCGTAGACTCCACCGAAACTCCCTACCGCTACGCCGGTTACGCCAACCGTCTCCGCACTGTTCTTCTCTCCGCCCACCGCTATGTCGCCTACACCTCCGACATAGGCGAATCCTTTCGCCCCGTCGCCCACCCCTGGCTCGTGCGATCCGCCTATGCCATCTCCTGGACCTATCTAATTGGCGATGTCGCCCACGAAGGCTACAAAGCCTACCTCCGCAATCGCCGCGTCCTGGCTCCTCCCTGTGAGGCCTACAAGGACGCCAGCGATCTCACCCACGACAAAATCGCCAAGGGCATGGTGACCGGCAACATCGCTGGCTCCCTAACAGGCGGCGATACGCTGATGCCATGGCCCACGACTCACGTGCCTCTGGCTGAGGACTACCGCACGGTGATGGCCCAGCGCGCCGTGTTCCAGGGTATCGCCAGTATGGGTCTGCCGGCCTTTACTATCCACTCTGTGGTCAAGTACTCTGGGCGCATGTTGAAGAACTCCCGGAGTGTCTTTTTCCGCACTTGGGCGCCTATCGGGGTGAGTTTCTCCGCATTTGTTCATGTGAAATCGGTATGGGGAATAGTCCGCTAACTATGCAATAAACTAGCTCGGTCTCTCCGTCGTGCCTTTCCTCCCGTACCTATTCGACAAGCCCGTCGAAGAGGCTGTCGAATGGGCCTTCCATACCGGACTCCGTGCCTATGCCGGTGAAGATGCCGTGCGTCCGCTACCTCAGGCCGTGAGAACTCCTCACGATGAGGACACCTCCCTCAGCCACTTCCTTAAGCTCCAGGCCGAGAAGAACAACGGCGAAGTCATGGGCCACGACGCTAACCTCTCCTGGGAGCAGTACAAGGAGGACCGCCGTCGAGCTAAGGAGCAGCGGATGCAGGAGCGTGAGCAGCGCGGCGAGGCCGGCCCGCTGGCGTTACTGGGTTTCGGGTCTAACTCGAAAGAAAAGAAAGAGTGATCATTTCATTATCTTTGACTGTGTTTTTCCTTGCCTGGGGTTTTCATATGTCATTGGCGACGGATGGATGGATGAATGGATCACAACTTACCTAGGTCATTTTCTGGTTGCCTCTCCACTGCATTTCTGTATTGTACATAATAGTCTGTTAGCGTTGTTCTTCATGTGTTCTTTTTTTTTCGACTCTCATTTCATCCATTCAGCCAAGCATCATCAATCATCACTCACCACATCAAATCAAGGACCAGGTCAGACGCGTTATTACTTGCTATTCAATGGTCCTCTGCATCTGGATATGAACACAAAACAATCTTGCGTATCTACATACCTACTTGCCTATGGACATCAAACCCCAAAGAAGAACTACAAATTTCATCTCTACAAAAGAATCAACCACAATTGAATATTTTCATTCAGCCTAGCCTAGCTTAGCCCAACCCAGCCAGATCAATCCGACCAGCGTGACTTAGGCCAGCTAGTTAGCTTGCATGCTTGCATTTCGATCTACTGGAAAAAGAGGAAATATACATCTGTACACATAGCGAGAAAAAAGGACGGACAAAGAGGAAAAACAAACACGGGGTAGGAGAGTATAGCACGGCGTTCACTCGTCACAGCAGATACCTACCACCCAATCATTAAGAAAAGCGTAGGGGAGGGGTGAGTTCAGTCAGGAGGAATATGCAGTCCCATCCTGAAGGAAGATGGATGATCATAGGGAGAGGAAGAAGAGAAATGATATAAAAAAATGTGAAATGAAGAAGAGTAAAAAAGGTGATTGCGGTGGCAGGTCTTTTTCTGTGTCACCATAAGGAGAGTAAGAATGGTATGGATGAATGGGTAGTGGAAAATGGCACAAAACGTGTGGGGAATAAGAAGAGAAAAAAAAAAGAAAAAAAAAAAAAAAAAAAAAAAAA